AAGATGGTGTTTGATTTTGTTGTACGAGGTGCAATGACAATGAAGTAAAGTAAAGTAAAAATAGTCATGTCCTCTTTTTTCAGTGGCGTTATACCATTAAATGAATGGTGGTAAGTCAAGGACTACCTATATTTAATTACAGTTGCCCAGAACACAAGTGCATGTTTTTCCCTTTATGCCGTTAAGCAAGCTTAGAAGAAATGTTAAGTAATATTTTCTAAGCACTGCAGTCAAAATGCTGGGCTGCCAATTCCTGCTCATGCTGAGGCATCGTTGAAGAACATTCAAGAATCTATCTGAGAACACAAATGGTCTCACTTTATAGAGACCTTTGGTTAAATTCCATACTTTCATATTCCGTAGTCCAGGCTTTAAAGTTTAATGTCAAAGAATTTTTCCACGTACCTATTTTTCAATCACTTCTATAAAGGTTAACTTTAAAGCTCACTCTAACGCCCCCTTTGATTCTCCTCAATCAATTGAACTGATTATTTGTTCTAATTTTAAAACTTCCCACATTTTCATACTGTTGTAAAATACCTTCGTGGCAATTTTAAAAGTACAGTGGGGTGGAAAAGTTATGGATTTGGGTTGGGCGTGTTGGAAGAATATCCTTCTGGGTTCAGTTCCAAGTGGGGAAGAAAGACACTAGAAACATAGTGACTGCTTGGAAAGATGGTTTAATGGTGGACAGGACCACATGCCTTGGAGCTCCAAAGTGAAAAGGATGGCCACATACTTCAAGATATTGGGTGAAGGAAAAAAAGAAGAAAAAAAAGGGGGGGGGGGGCAAGATACTGAGAAACCCTGGGTTTTATGCCCTCTGTTGGCATTTGAATTTGAGCTTGTTTTCTGATTGGTTGTCAGACTTCCATGGGGCCATGCAGGGGCAACTCTGTAGGGTGTCCTGAGTCCCAGGCTTGGTTGAGCCTTGCTGGATGATGATGTAATGAAAGGGCTTTGGGCAATTCCTATTATGGCTCTACCTGGAGTACATTTTTGTTATGTAAAATAGACTGGCCCAGGCCAGAGTAATGGTCCATTAGCAAAGGTGGGGGACTGAGTTTCTGTCTCTCTGAGTTTCTACTTTTCTTTTTAGGGGAAATATTCTGTCTTTTTAGTATATCCTAAAATAATTCATTTTCCTAGGAGAGGGGTGGGTTTTAACTTCCAACAGGCACTACCATTACTTGAATTCAGTCAAATTCATGCTAAAAAACCCCTCAGTTTTGGAAAACAGATGATAAGTTATTGCGAACAGTAGTTCTAATACATATACTAGATCTGTGGGAAAATCTGCATGCAATTTGAACAGCAGAATATCCAAAATGTGATTTCTCTGGTCCTATTAAGCCCTCTATCTGATTATTTTAGTACTGCATTATGACACCAGTTAGCAGGAGGAAACTAATGAGGTGCAGTTGCACATGGAAAAAAATCTGCCTCAAAATGCAGAATGTATACAGAGTGTCAGCACCAACTATTTTCTTGGCATAGAAAAGCAGCAAGTCTAAAAAAAAAAAAAAAGGCCAGCCTAGCAACCATCTTCCTATTTATTTATTTATTTATTTAATTTTCATATTTTAATGATATATGTAAGGAACATTCAATCGTATCTCCACTCCCCATCTTTTAAACCAACTATATGCCACAAATAACTAAAAAATATACGCGTGGACTAATAATGTATCCTGTGAGATAGTGGAAAAAAAACCAGTCATTTATGAGGCTACAGAATTGAGACGAGCTACTAATGGTGAAAACATTACTAATGAAATATACTTGCACTTCTTTTTATTTTATCTATCAACATTTTTAACTGTTTCATTCCAGGGGTTCTAAACAGGGGCTCTAGTTCTATATAGCTCATGCTTGTAAACAATCAAACACAAACATGGCATTAAAAAATTGCACGATTAGGAAAAAACAATCAGGAATTTAAAAGGAACTGAACTATAACCAAATAATTGCAATTTAAATACACTGGAAAAAACTTCCCCCACTTTCCTGCTTTGACAGAGCTGTTCCTGGTTGTTTTTGGAGAAAAACATGTTTTATTCTCCGACAAAAACAAGAAGATACGGTAAAATTCTCTTGAAATATCATATCAGATAGAGAAAAACCTGGAAATAATCTATTCATTTTTAAGATAAGCTAGCTCCATTAACTCCATTAAAAAAATAGTGAATTAGATGCATCATTAAAAACATTTATAATATATAGCCACAAAACGTATAGTTCAGTGGAAGAAATATTTCCTTCGGTATTAAATATGATGAATGTCTTTTTAAAGAATATGCTTTGTCATTTATTTATAGTGTTTACATTTTACATTTTTAAAAAAAATCTGGCGATCTTTTCTAAGTGCAACATTTGGGAGAAAAGGACATGGCCCAATGAAGGAGGCAGAGACATATGTCTGGCCAGCCCAATGGGTAAAAGCAACCTAATTAGAAGGGGGTAACAGATGGCACCACCAGGTATAAGTTTACCTCTTCTTTTACTAGGAGAACAAAACAGGCTGCACTAAGAGTGCACGAGATGTAATTAGTATTTTTGTTGGTAGGGATTTATAACATTAAAGATTACGTTAGCTTAAGTTCTGTACTACGTTGCTCATTGTACAAAATCCTGAACAGTTACTGTTAGAAGTTAAAACCTACCCCTCTCCTAGAAAAATGAAATATTTTAGGATATACTAAAAAGTCAGAATATTTTCCCTAAAAGAGAAGCAGAAACTCAGGCAGAAACTCAGCTCCCCTACATTTATTAATGGCCATTAAGGCCTAGGGCGGTCTATTCTACATAACAAAGATCTACCTCCTTCAGGCAGAGCCATTGAATTGTCCTTCATTGCACCACCCACCAAATTTCAACCAAATTTAGCACACAGACAACCTACAAAGCTAGCTATGACCTCTGATAGCAACCAATCAGGTTACTCTTCCTGTGCCCCAGGAAGTTCAAAGCCAGAGAGGGTATAAAACCCAGGGACTCTCCTTCCCTTTTCTTCACCCAAGAACTCCAAGGTATATGATCCTGTCCACCATTAAACAGCCCCCATGTTTCCAGTGTCTTTTTCTCCACTTGGAACTGAACCCAGAAGGATATTTCTTCCAACATAAGCTATTATTACATGTGTATTTGAAGTAAAAACAAAACCACAAAGCAGATACATTTGGCTAAACAGTAACTACAAAGCTCAGTTTCTGACTTACCTCTTCTGTTAGCTGGAAATGCACAAGGGAAGCCAAATTTTTAGAAGCCATGTGAGAGAGCTGTTTATCTGAACTACGTAACAGATGAATCTAGGAGAAAGGGAAACAGAAGGAAGTTGTACCTACAAGACATCTTAACAAAGGCATTTAAGAAAAACACAACCTTTGGGAAACTGACCAATTCAGAGACAATATTCGATTCTTCCAGGATTCTCAGGATCTCAATGTATTTGGATTTTATTTCAGTAGCCACCCCTTGCAGCTGCAGTTTGGCAAGCACCATCTCGATCAAGGTTAACTGAAGCAGAATAATTTCCCGTGCATGGCACTTCAGATGGCTAAGGTTTTTAGAAATATCATGTCCTTTGTTTATTGGGTCTAGACCGGAAGAGATCTCAGCATCCAACTTAGAAAAAAAATGACAGGCACATAATTCACAATTTTTTGCTGATGAAAAAGCCGATGGGTTTAGAAGAGCTGCACAATTGTAACTATCTTGGGCGAACAAAGCACCAGCAATTATATCATTATACATTTTTTGAAGGAAGTGAAAGTAAGTCTCCATTATCAGCAATTTTTATATATCCAGGGCTTCTTTATATATTCAAATCAGCAGGAGTTGAATTGTTTCCCCCCCTTCCAGGAACTGACTCTCATATAAGATGTAACTTTGTAAAGATTCCAGTTCCATTGAACCTAAAAAAAACGACAAGAATGTGAGATCGGTAGTGATTCTTAGTGAAAAGTCAGAACAATTCAAGTTTTCAGCACCAGGTACTATTCAAACACGGCTACTAATTATTATTTTATTAGATTTAGATTCCACTATTTCCTCAGTCAAGGCAGTTTCCATGGAGGCCTGTCTTTTTTCATTCTCACAGCAGCAACCCTCTTGAAGTAGCCTGAGAGAGGCAATTCTTCTCTCATTTAGCCTTTTTTTTATTTCTCTATTTTCTTTTGAAACCTTATATATTTGTACTACCCCATTTTACTAAAAGAACTTTCTTGGCTGACTCTAGGCCAGAATCTGGCTTTACCTAATTGCAGTCTAATAATTTAAGCACTAACATTTAATCACTAATTATACTATCAGTGATTGCAAGACTTGTGTAGATGCCATATGCTAAGCTAGTTATACTAAAAGCGAGTATCTGAATTCTCTAAAGTACTTTGGGATTTTTTTCTGTCACATGTGGTCATCCTAATTCTGCTCAGGATCTCCCAAACAACTACCCTTATACCCCTTAAAAATCTTCTATTTGAAAACTATTCCTCTCTCTCTTCAACTGTTTTTTGTACTTCTCTATTTCTGAAATCTTTTATTGTTTTTTATATGAGGTTTTTATATTCCTGTAAACTGCCTTGAGTTGCCATGTGCAAGTAGGCAGCAATATACACTTCCCAAATAAAATGAAATAAATACTCATGCTGCATATAGGAATTAGTCTAGAGGAAACAATTTACTTCATTTAGAGCAGCTCCCAGTAACTTAACTTAGCCTTGGAAGTTAAGCATTCTAAAAGGCGGCAATTATAAACCACTTCTGTATTGTTGCTAGGTAAATTTCCAATGCAAGGTGCATCAATGTAATTAGCAGGAGTTGCACTTTAGGATTTTTTTCTCTTGGTTCCAGCAGATGGCAGCTTGGTGCAGCGGTTAAGGCACAAGGCCCATGCATTGGGAGCCTGTGAGTTTTAGTCCTGCCTCAGGTACTTAAAAAGAAGCTTCTTGGATGAGAAGCAAAGCATCTTCAAAAAGAAAAACAGATAAAGTCCAGTTGCCTCTTGAGAAAAAAGCAGCCGTGGAACAACCATGACCTGGATGTCTAAGAAGCTCCATAGAACATTGAATACAGTCAATGTTACAGAACCTGTGTACAGTCAACTTACAACAATTGAGCCCAACATTTCTGTTGTTAAGCGAGACGTTTGTTAAGTGAGTTTTGCCCCATTATACGACCTTTCTGGCCAGCATTGTTAAGTGAATCACAGCAGTCAATAAGCTAGGAACCCGGTTGTTAAGTGAATCTGGCTTCCTCACGGACTTTCTGTTTGCAAAAGCGGATCACATGACCCTGCAACCATCATAAATATGAATCGGTTGCCAAGCAACTAAATTTTGATCATGTGACCATGCTGCAATGGTCGTAAGTGTGGAAAACGGTCCTAAGTCACTTTTTTTCTGTGCCGCTGGAACTTTGAATGGTCACTAAATGAATTGTTGTAAGTTAAGGATGACCTGTGTATCATACGTAAATGTCAGGCATAGTTAACAGAGATATAAACAGCTCTTCTCTCCGGGGAAATCTTTCCTTTCCATTCTTCTCTGCTTTGCAAAAAATATGGTTTGCAATAATTATAATTAATAAGAATAATTAGTGGTAATAAGTACCCTGTTTCTCCAACAATACGGCCTCCCCCAATAGGAAGTCCCAGCATGTTTTATAGGCATGAAATGAAATTAAGCCCCTCCCCCCAAATTAAGGCCTATATTAAAACATGCGAAATGGGGGGGAATGGAGGGGGGGGCTTGCCGTTAGGAAGTACTTTTGTTGCACACCCGGAAATGGTGCTGCCTGCGTTGACCCCGATATGAAGTGCCCCACCAACGCCGAGGTCAACATCCAAGCCGTTGCTGCCCGCCCACCCAAAGATGCAAGGGGGGGGAATTAAGTCACCCCCCCCCAAAAAAACGGCCTAGCCATTTTTTCGGGGCTCAAAAAAAAAAAAAAAAAAAGACCCGGCCTTATTATATGAGAAACACGGTAGCATAGTAGTAATAGTAATAAATAGTAATAATAGTAATAGTAATAATAATGATGATGATGATGATGTCCCGCCCTCAATACCGATTCTTATATTGGAGCAAGGACCCCCTCCCCATACACACACCCCAATCCTATGCAACACCCCAGACTCCCAATCTTCTCGGCCTTCCGACCAGACGGCAACGTTTCTCTGAGGAGGATCAAGCCCTTCTCCTCCTCCGCGGCTACAAAACGTCCGCCCCGCCCCCCACAGCCCGTTATCATCCAGGCTCTCCCAGCCGGGCTGCCGCGACTTCCGGTAGGACCATAGAGTTAAAGCTTTACAACTTCCGGCAGAAGGCAGGAAAACCGTGTTCTCGGGCAGCGGCGTGTGGGGAGGGGGAGGAAGTGGATCGGCGTCGTTCTTGCCCACCCGCGACTCTATGGTCAAGGTTCCTTTCTCTTTCCCCGGAGAAACCCAAAGAGAAGCAAAAGTTGCCGAGACGGGGCCGGAAGTGTCTGTAGTGAGGGAGGTTGGGCGGGCGGAGGACTTGTATCCTTTCGGGAGAGACGAGGAGAAAGAGACGCCAAGAACAAGTAGAGGAGGAGGAGAAGGAAACGCCAGGAGGGAGGCGGGGAGAGGCGTGGCCTTTCGACTCCCCACCCCTCCCTCCCTCCCTCCCTGTCGCGACGTCCAATCAGAAGCGGCGGTGGGCGGATGCCTTGCGGCGAGCGCGCCCGCTGATTGGCCGCGCGCCGGGGTCAGCCCAGGCCCGGTGACCCCCGGAGTAAGGAGCGGAGGTGGCTCCTACTCCATCAGTCACTCAGTCAGTCAGTCAGGGCAAAGGGGCTCTTCTTCCTGGCTGCCTTCCTTCGGTGGACGACCCGCTTTGCTCTGCCCGACGCACCGGGCAGCCCATTTTTCCCCCCAACGTCCCCTTGCTTCCCCGGCAGCCGGGAAGGGAAGCGCCCGGGGGAGCCCTGCGGCTGGGTCGGGCTGGGCCCTGAAGCGAAAAGAGAGAGAAAGAGACAGAAAGACAGACAGGTAACGGCCGGCGAGGAGGGAGGGGCTTAGTGGGGCCCCGCCCCCAGAGCAACAAGAGGGGGGGAAGGGGGGCAGCCACAGCGGCTCGGGGAAGGGGGCGACTCCCCCGGGGCGCCCCCTCATTCCCCAGACGCTGCCGTGGCCTGGGAGGGGGTCTCTGGGATGGGGAGTCGCTCCTGATCAAGGGACTGGCATCAACCCAACTTGGGGAGCCTGGGGCACCGAAATACCCCCCTCTTCCCCCCAAATTACGTTGGTGGAACGAACAGGAGCAAGCATAGAATCCCATAGGGCTGGAAGGGACCTTGGAGGTCTTCTAGTCCAACCCCCTGCCCCAACCTCTTCTCTCCAGGTTTGGGGAGATCTGCCCCTGGGCACCCCGTTTTCTCTGTCCGGGGGTTGCTGGGACCATGAAGCATGGCAAAGGAGGGCTGAGATGGGGGAGTTGGCCATTCTGGGGGGGGGGGGGTGCCCCAAGTTGGAGAACCTGGACTGAGTTGGGGTGAGCTAGCCAGGAGACAGTGGTCCAGGCTGGGATGAGCACCAGGCTCGCTTTGCAGCTTTTCTCTAGGGTGAAGGATCGGAATGTGTGATGGCCGGGACTGTTCAGCATTGTCCAATGGACCCAGCAATGGAGGGTCTATGGAGATTCTCCATCATCCAGGTCATGGTTGTCCCAAAGGTGTTTTTCAGAGTCATGTAAATGTGAGAACCCAGCACAGGTAGTCCTCAACTTACCATGGTTTGCTTAGTGATCATTCGAAGTTTCAACAGCACTGAAATATGTAACTTATGACCATTTCTCATGCTTATGACCGTTGCAGCATCCCCATGGTCACGTGTCTATGGAGATTCTCAGCCTTTCAGATCATGGTTGTCTCAAAGGTGCTTTTTCAAGCGGCAACTGGAATCTTCAGAGCTCTTCAGAGCTGAAGAAGCTTTTTGCATGACAAGCGAAACGTCTTCAAAGAAAAAACAAAGAAAGTCCAGTTGCCTTTTGAAAAAGATTCTTTGGGACAACCATAACCATGGATGATGGAGATTTGCCATAGACATTGTCCTAAAGGTGTTTTTCTTTTTCCTACTCCCCAAAAAGCACCTGAATTTCCTTGGTGTCTTGTTTGAAAAACGTTTCACTTCTCATCCAAGAAGCTTCTTCAAAACTGGGAAGAAAAACTGAAGCGGGAAAAAAAACAGACCTTTGAGACACAGCAACAGAGTCAACCAATGGATAGATCTGGAGCCTCGTGCATTGTGTGGACTCAGGTTTAGGAGTCTGTTTCAGCCTGCTATGGGAATCTAGGGCACCGGGTTAATTGAGTGAATCCGGGTAAAGCTAAGGATTGAGTGCCTTGGAAGGAGGGCAGAGCTACTGAACATGTTCATGTCTGGCATGCTCAGGCAGCCACCTTGTTTAGCACACCATTCTCCCTCCCTCCAAAAACACCCATGGTAAAACCAGCACTTATATTAGAACTGATAACTGTGCGCAGGCAGTTTTCACCTGGGTACATCCCAGTAAAAGATATTTATAGTCTTGTGCAGAACATTGTGAATTTGATCCACTTCAACCTCAGTACACTGGTTTCAAGTTAGAAATGCTGTTTTTAACTTCCAGGTATGTTGAGTTTTAAATATTTCCAGATTGAACTCAAAACAGATGTGTTTTGGGCTTTCAATGATTCTAGAATGCTTGAGACAGTAGAGACCATTTCCACTAAGACTAGAAAGCTCATTTTGAACTGAGAGTTTGCCCTTTGAAACTGAAAAAGGGCAATTTGTAGTCTAAATTTTATGTTTTGATGTAGTGGTTAAGGCATTGGGTTAAAGACCAGGAGATCCTGAATTGTAGTCCCTCCTTAAGCACAAAGCCAGCTAGGTGATTTTGGACCAGTCACTTTCTCTCAGTCCTAGGAAGGCGGCAATAGCAAACCACTCCTGAAAAACCTTGTCAAGAAAACAGTAGGGATTTGTCCAGACAGTTTCTTAAGATAAGACCCAAGATTGAATTGAAGAAGAAAAATAAACTTATTTTTCCTCTCATGGGTTTATAAAATATTAGAATATAAAGAGTAGAAATATGTTCTATTTCTAGAAAATAGAAAATATGTTCTATTTCGATTCTTACTATGTTACAGAGCACCTGATTATGACATCGAACATGTAAACAAGCTAAATACATTACTAACATGGGCTGCATCCTGCCCATACCCTTTTATCCTTCTTGGTGATTTCAATCTACCTCATATTAACTGGACCCTAAATGATTGTACAACTGAAATCATACACACAACCTTCTACAATGCTATTACAAATCTGGGACTGGAACAACTAGTAACCAACAACACTAGACTAAACAACTGCCTCGATCTCATCTTCTGCAACAGTTTGAACCTAATCTACGGAATACAATCTAAAGAACCCTTTTCCAGTAGTGACCACAATATGATCGACTTTTGTCTCAACATACATCCACACAAAAATCACCACAATGATGTAATCCCCTATTGTAACTTCAAAAAAGGCAACTATGATCTTATAGACAACGATCTCTCATCCCTTGATTGGCAATCTCTATTCACTGGATGCAATACTGTTGAAGACCATTATAACATATTTTTACTTGAAGTCAAAAGAGTCATCAAACTATATGTACCAACAACAACTCCCAAAACAAAACAAAAAAGCAGATTACCCATATCAATAAGGAAACTTCAATCCAAAAAGAGATCACTCTGGCGGAAAAACAAATCTGGTCACGTTGCCAATTTCAAAAACCGATACAAAAATCTATGCCACCAGATAAAGACCGAATGCACCAATTATCACATTAAACAAGAGGAAAACCTTCTAAGCACCAATTCCACCCGCGCTTTTTACAATTTTGTAAACAACAAACTAAAAGACTCAAGGTCCATCCCTCCCTTGATAGGACCTGATGGTAAAGACTGCAACGACGACACCATTAAAGCCAACATCTTTAACACATTCTTCGGCTCAGTATTTGTAAACAGCAATGGATCATGCCCAGTATTTCCTAGCCGTACCACAGATAACAACAATGATCTAATACATATCGATTTCACAGAAGACAATGTTGAAAAAGCAATACGCAACCTAAAACCATCTCTATCTATTGGACCGGATGGAATATGTGCCTACTTCTTAAGAAAGCTATCCTCTCCCATAGCCAAACCTCTAAGCATAATCTTTGAAAAATCTTTCAGAACCAGCTCCTTGCCCAACCTATGGTCACAAGCCACAGTCATCCCCATCTTCAAAAAGGGAGACCCAAGCCTAGTTGAAAACTACAGGCCAATCTCCTTATGCTGCGTCACCTGTAAAGTCATGGAATCAATTATTAACCAATCCATCATCCTTCACTTAGAGACAAATAACCTACTCTCCAATAAACAATTTGGTTTCAGGAAAAAACTATCCTGTAATCTGCAACTCTTACACTGTAAAAACATATGGACGACACAACTCGACCAGGGCAAAACAATAGACGCAATCTACATAGACTTCTGTAAAGCCTTTGATTCAGTGGTACACGACAAACTACTCCTAAAAATAAAATCCTATGGTATCTCTGGACAACTGAATAACTGGATAGAAGCATTCCTGTCAAACAGACAACAAATGGTCAAAATCGGGAACGTCCTATCAAATCCAGTACCTGTCAATAGTGGTGTTCCCCAAGGCAGTGTTCTAGGACCAACTCTCTTCATACTCTACATAAACGACCTCTGTGATCATATTAAGAGCAATTGCGTTCTCTTCGCTGATGATGTAAAGCTGTTCAATACCACAGACAATACTGCTACCCTACAAAAAGATCTTGACTATGTATCCGAATGGTCAAACAAATGGCAACTTCAAATCTCAACAAATAAATGCTCTGTCTTACATATTGGCAAAAAAAATCAGAAAATAAAATACAAGCTGAATAGTCAAGATCTTGTTGATGACCCAAGCTCTGTAAAGGACCTTGGAATACTCACCTCTAATGATCTAAGTGCTAGAGCACACTGCAACTACATAGCCAAAAAGGCATTAAGAGTTGTTAACCTAATCCTACGTAGCTTTTTCTCTGGTAATATCACACTACTAACCAGAGCATACAAAACATTTGCTAGACCAATACTCGAATACAGTTCATCAGTCTGGAATCCACACTACGTATCTGATATTAGCACAATTGAGAAAGTCCAGAAATATTTCACAAGAAGAGTTCTCCACTCCTCTACTCGCTGTAGAATACCTTATGCCACCAGACTTGAAATTCTAGAACTAGAAAACCTTGAATTACGCCGTCTTCGGTCTGACTTAAGCATGGTATACAAAATCATACATTGCAATGTCCTACCTGTCAATGAATACTTCAGCTTCAACCATAACAACACAAGAGCACACAATAGATACAAACTCAAAGTAAACCGCACCAAACTTGATTGCAGGAAATACGACTTCAGCAATAGAGTGGTCAATGTCTGGAATACTCTACCCGACTCTGTAGTTTCTTCCCCAAACCCCAAAAACTTTAACCTTAGACTGTCTACTATTGACCTCACCCCTTTCCTAAGAGGTCTGTAGGGGGCGTGCATAAGCGCACCAACGTGCCTACCGTCCCTGTCCTATTGTTTCTCCTATTCTTTTATTTTTCTTATATGTAACCATTTCATGTATTCACAACTATGTATACATTTATACTTATTATCTTGTAAACAATTGGCAAATCAAATAAATAAATAAATAAATAAATAAATGTTGGATATCATGTATATCCAATATCATGGATACCAAAACCGTGCTGTAGCATCCCTGGCAACCATCCTGTCTCTATTCAAATACTTCCTGTGACAGTGTGTTCTATTGTTTTGGAGCTCTTATCAGAAATTTATCCGAATGCCCAACTGAAGTCTTTTTTTAAAATTTAAGTCCATTGTGTTTTGTCATCAGGAACAACTGCAACAATCCTGCCCAATTTTCTACATAATCCTTCATACATTTGAGGACAGCTATCTTGTATCAGGTCTCCACATTACACATAGCCATTGACTCCAATCATTCAGTCTTCATTTCAGTTGCTCCATTCCTAACACTCTCAGTTTATCAATGTCATTCCTAAAATTCTATGCCAGTACTGGATGCTATATTTTAGGTATGGTTTGACCAACGTTCATTTGCTTAGCGCCTTTCTTCGGAATTAATCCTGTTTAGCACCTCCTAAATTAATCCTGTTTACTGAATTAATTTATTAATTTGTATGGATTTGCATAATACTTTAAATTATAAACTAATCAAGTCTATATAATATGGTAAACACATACATATTTGAAACCCTTCAAGGGTTAAATTAATCATACCTAATATCTTATGGAAATGCAATTGCTTGGTTTGGAATTGACTGTTATGTCTCTTGTATGAACTGTAGCATTTATTAAGGTTTTGTGGCCCATTAAAAATAATATTGTGCAAGTATTCTGGTGAAGTGTGGCTATTAAAATGCTGCAGTGTTCTTTGAAGTAATTTTCTAAGTTATACCTCAGGACAATTAATGTGTTTTCTCAACAATTATAAAAACAAATGCTTTCCTTTTGACCTCAAAAAAGTAAAAAAAAAAAAAGATTTAGTTCTCATTCTGTACATGTTTCCTTTACTCAAAAGTACGTTCCATTTAGTTCAACAGGATATATTCACTGGTTGGCAAATTTAAAATGGCAGTTGTAGATTTCTTTTTCTTCTGATAATGTGTGGAGAGGGAATGTGTGAAGGACGTCCACTTAATTTCTGTTGCTTGGAGGAATGCAACAGGCAGAGCTTATTCTTTAAAAATATACAGAAGAAGGAATCATGAGAGTTAAATGGGGAACAATTAATGAAAACTCATCCTGGAAGGTTGGGAACATAATAGAATAGATTAAAAAAGAACTATGCTGAATCAAATCAAAGATCCATTTGATCCAGCACTATGGCCAGTCAGATCCTTTGTCAAACCCTCTATCAGAATATGAGTTAAGTTGCTTTCTCCTACAGTACTTGTGTTCCCTGGCAACAGTGATTCAAAAACACACTAGCTGTGATGCTGAAGGTAATATATAACAATTCATGGATATCTTTAACTTCCACATACTTGTCTATTTCTGTAGCAGTTCAAGTTGGCAGGAATCACTTTATCTTGTGATAGCAAATTTCATCTATTGGTGACACTCTGTGTGGAATATTTCCTTTTAACTGATATGAAACTTTCTCAGGTTCATTGGATAACTTCAGGTTTAATATTAAGAGATTAACAGTGAGAGTTGGGGACTAGTGATCCCAAAATTGAGAAATTATTGAAAAGCATAGTTAAATCATGGTGAGTTTTTCATAGTTCACCTCTACCTCAGATCTATAAAGGGAAGAATGGCTTGAGCTGGGAGAGAGAAAGATTATATGAAAAAGGGAGAGTACATGTTATGTTGACATCCCCAAGATTTGGGTTGCAGGTGAGGAGGATTAGGCCAGACAAGGAATAATGGATGAACAAGGAGAGGTTCAACCTGGAAATAAGGAGAAATTTTCTGACAATGAGAGAAATCAACCAATGGAGCAGAAATTGCCTTCAGAAATTGTGGGAGCTTCATCACTGGAAGCTTCCAAGAAGCGACTGGACTGCCATCTGTCAGAAATGGTGTAGGGTCTCCTGCTTGGGTGAGGGGCTGGACTAGATGAACTACAAGGTCCCTTCCAACTCTGTTAATCTGTTAAAACTCCTTAGAGGGTGGAAAAAGGGGTCATCTCTTATTCTGAAAGGGTAACAATATCGATAACAAAAGAAATGGCTAAGGAAGAAATACTGTACTTATAAGATGGAGAAGGACAGGAAACGCTTGTATTGAATCTTCTCTGAAGGCTGCATTGGAGAGGCAATAGAAGGTGTAGCTAATTGCTACCAAATCTGAGCTAGATTTAAAAAGAGCTTTTCCATGATTTATGTAAGAGTGCTTTATTCATCACAGTGCAGAGAATTGGGAGATGAAGGTTGCTGATCATCTACGTTTAAAGCAGAGCGATGACCTTCCTTAAAATGTATGAAAAAGGATCCAATTTTTAGACTTTAATACAACAGTAAATTAGACTTTAATACAATTATATAGTATATTTGTGCATCACACTGAGCCACAATGTGGTTTGGTTTAACTTAGCAAAGCCCATGAATCCAGCCTTTGCTATTTGTAAATCACATTTTATAGGTTGGAGTAAATGTGTAAGGCAAGAAGATTCCACAAGTCATTAAAAATAACTTGAGTCACAATAGTCAACTAATGGGAGAGGGAAGGACTAGATTGAAATTTCCATTCATTCACAACAGTTTCTGAAGTTTCAAGGTCAACCCCATCATCTTTCGTCATAAATTATATCACAGGCTTGCTGTCTGAACAGAATAATATTGGGGATCTGAGGCTGATAATGTAAACTGGTCTGTGCTCCTTTTTGGGTGATAAGGGAAAATGTAATAAAAGTTGAGAGGACTCAGGAAAGGCTTCTGTATCTATCATAAATCTTCTCTGCTTGTTTTCCAGGCTCATGCTGCTACATAAGAGATTAGGAAACTCTGAATGCAAAATAAAAATCAAGAAGCAAAAATGTAATAGAAGAACCCAGTATCCAGGTAACTGATCTAAAATTTTACTTTTTGAAAACATTTTACATTAGTCGGTAAGATTATTACTAGTAATGGTTGATGTTTTGTATGACTTCTATTCTGTTGAAAGTTACAAACAAGACGTGTGTCATTTGTACATTGGGAAGCATAGACATTGGATTGTCAGGATAGCTTAGTTACCTTAGCAAACTGTATTATCTGCTTAGTGAAGGCAGCTGTTTAAACTTGATTATACATGCATATAGTATGAATGGTGCAGTGGCCTGGAGGTAGAGCGCTCACCTCGCAATCAGGAGGCTGTGAGTTCGATCCTAGGTACAGGCAGATGTTTCTCTCTCTGGGCATGATGAGAATATATCTGCTGAATAAAACTCTGTATTGGCGACAGGAAGGGCATCCGTCCAGTAAACATTCAGTTGCCCAGACTCCACCCCAGACTCCACTCTATTATGGGGTCATTAAATGGAGATGATGATACGTGTGTGTATAGCATATTGCAATGGTCTGGTTTCTATCTCTTTTGAGAATCAATTCCTTTGAATCAGATACACTGGCCCAGTCTGGATTAATAAACTAAGAAACACACAAGATTTATACCCCAATTGATCCAGTCTTTTACTTCTCTTTCCCTTTGTACAGACACAGAAAAGGGTTCCACTGTTTTCTAATGCAGATTGAACTATGTTTTCTAGGATCCTAAAGATGACCATGGTAACCATGTCACATGCAACTTAGAGGTCTTTTATTGAAGATTTCACATAGTGTCTAAAAGCAAGAATGTCATCAGAATATAGCATGTAGACCAGAGGTGGGCAACTATGGCCCTTTTATGACTTGTGGACTTCAACTCCCAAAATTCCTGAGCTAGCATGGCTTGCTCAGGAATTCTGGGAGTTGAAGTCCATAATTCATAAAAGGGCCATAGTTGCCCACCCCTGATGTAGACTCTTTGCTTACTAAGATGGGATACATATTGGAAGTTTAAAGTAAACTTTCTCCTTCAAGTCCTTAGAATTAAATGTTCTCTTTTAAGTCTATTTACAGTAGCAAACAGTTCAACGTGTACTGGTCCCCGTTGATAGTTTTGCAGGGAAAGAGTCAGATGCTGTTTTTGTTCAGTGAGGCTCAGTATGATTTCAGGGGCTGCTTGTGATTACAAGAATTTGAAAATATGTCACAGAGAAACAATTTGCAGGGTAAACAGCAAAGGGTGGAATATTTTAGCCTTGGTGGTATTCCTAAGGTGAAGTTAGTTTTTAGGTTTTCAAAATGTGATGAGCTTTTAAAAATGGTTAACATTTACAGACGAGTGATCAAATACATTTAAATGTTTATATTGCTTTTGTTATTTAAAGCCTTTATGACCTTTATATGAGTGTTTTTGCTTGTTCAAACTGCAATCTCTGGGTCAAATGTTTGCATTTAAAAATGGTTACATTACAATCATTTATGTTGATTTTGAGAGCAAGTTCAGATATTTTGTGATACTTTGGCAACAGCATTCATTATATAAGAACATTTTACCTTCCAAGTAGCTTGCAGAAGAGGGCAAATCTCATCCTTCTACAGATTTCATTGTGTGCATGTGCTTCTAAATGATAAGCTATAAACTAGAATGAAGGTCTTAATTTATATATACGTACAATAGCACCTGTATACTACTTTACACATGGTAAGCCGTTCATTACTTCTGTGCTGTACTGAAGTGGGCATTTATACCCATTTTACAGTTGGTGAACAGCAACTATTTCTATGGTGTGCAACATGGAATGTGGTTCGTTTATTTTTGGCTTAGCACGTTCTGCAAACTAGACCATTATGATTTGGGTCTAGGAAAGAAATCTTTCACTTCTATTTACTAGCTGTTTTCATTATGCCACTTCATGAATGCAGTAGCATGACTGACTTTTATAGCGCATAGCAACACAAAGCATTGCGTTTTAGTATCTTTATTAATTTCCTATCTTGCTTTCAGCTGCGACTATTGCAGGGAGATTAAATTTGCTTTTGAAAATTTAGCTTTTAGTTAAGAGAAATTATGAAGCAATGCTACTTTTTAAATAAAGTGTTTGGACTCCCCCAAATCTGATTTGTCTTGACCACATGTCCCTCACATTCTTATTGTGACTGGTTTTAGACAGCAGAATGTTGCAAAACTGATTGTCCTGCTGTTGTTATATTCACACTGATCAATTTTTTCTTTGCAACATTTGGTAATCACCAATTTAATTCAATAATCCACATTTTATTCAATAAACAGGGAACAATAAATCCTGCAAAAATATTGAAAGTGCTAAAACACAGTATGCGCATGCTTTGCTAATGCATAGTTTGTTTATCCTTCTAAAACTCAAGGTAGGGAAAGATTCTTAACCGAAACCATGGCAAGCTGCAACAATCAAGCAAAGTAGCTAAATCCAGAGGCATTTAAAAACCATTATAAAATGTATTTGGTTTCTTTTGTTGTGCCAACTCAAGTATTATGATTAATAAACTATGGTTTGTGGCACATTGTGATTTGGGAATTGTCCATTAGTGACTCATTCACTGAAAAATTATAAAATGAATCATAGCTTAATGTACTGTATGAACCTCTCATTCAGTTAGATGGACAATTTCCTGTGAGATACAGCTTCCTTAAATCTTAGTATGATACAGAAAAACCTGAATACCCATAAATGCACCCCATAGATGGCCATTTCCCTTGCTGAAAACGGGAAGCAAAGCAATGGCCATTCATCTCTGTAACAAAACATCGAAAGCATTAGGAGAAATGAGTGGAAATCCTTGGTGCTTCTTGAGAGAAATAAGCATCCAGAGAAAGAAAGTAATAGACTGAGAGTGGTGTGAAATGTTCTGTCATAAAAATGTTTCAGTTGAACTCTGAAAGAGGACAACTCGGTATAGAGTTTCCAAGTCTTTTGAAGTCAGCCCATTTATGGAACAGAAGAACATTCTGTGAAGTTCTCTGGACCTCTTCTGGAACATTGTTGTTAGGAATGGATTGTTCTGGAGTCAGGATGACCCGTGGACCAAACATTTTGCACAGGCCTGCAATGGAATGGAAGATTTTTTAAAAAAAGATAAAACAAACTTTCATTCTGAAAAATATAATGTATTAATATGATATTTTTATTATATTATTATATACTAAGTAAACTGTAATTGTAAATTTCACTATGTTGATTGAAGCAGTATCACAGAAGGAGTAAGCCTTCAAGTGAGGAATAATAAGAAAGAAGATAATGTTCTTGGCAGCCCTACATTCATTATAATCTTGTCCTTTGGATATATAAACTTATTTAAATCTAGGGATGACATTGCCATTGCATAATCTTTTCCAATTAAATAACAATTCAAAATGTACAATATAAGTGGTAGGAGTATTTTTCCTGCCCCCAAAAAAGTCTTGAGTGAAGTTTGGGTATATTTCCATGGTATATTATGAGAGGCTCCTTGTTTAAATATCTTTTTTGCAGATGGCAGGGTTCCTTAGGCCTTTACTGTTTGCTTGTTTATAAACACAGATCTGTGCTTATTTATTTGCTTTTTTTTGAGTATTCTGCCTGCTTTTTCTGCCACACATCCACAATTCTACTTTTTCTTGCAATCCGCACAATATCTGAGATTAGATTAATGTTTCTTGCTTCTTGCTTGCTTTGATCTAACAGACACCTTCTTCATTTCAAGGAGAAACCATTTGCTTGCTGTATTATGCCTGCAGACAAAGTAATGTACAATGAAGACGGAAAACACAACGTACAAAAACTGACTTTTGCTTATAAGGTATTTCGTAATAGAGGACCTTACTCATTCTTTGTGGAAAATGTTACCTGCATCTTAGTAAGGAATTATCAGTGAGGTCATCCGGGAACAGTTTTTCCAGTGCTCCCTCCAAAGATAATTTTATGAGTAAAAGTCCAATATTTGAGAGAAATATTATAAAACTGGTGGATTTTTTTTTAATTATTTGCTTCTTTCCAAGAATAGTTTTCGTGGAAAAGTAAAATGATTTAAGATAAAGGACACAGACATGCTGTAATTGTCACTATTTTAAAAATGGGCATTAATCATCTATATTTAAAAACATTTTTAAAAACCCAGATACAGTTTGTAAATATAAACCCAGTGACACTTTGGTATAATGGTTAAGGCACTTGACTAAAACACGGAAGACCAGAAGTTCTGATTCCCCCTGTTAGTCGCCCACCTGAGTGACTTTGGGCCAATCCCCTCTCTCAGCCATAGGAAGAAGCTGCTTCCAAAATTCTTGCCAAGAAAAACCTCAGGGACTAATCCAGATAGTCACTAGGAATTCACACTGACTTGAACGTATATATTCTTTATCAGCATAATCCTTGCAAAATGCCATTTTTCTATTTCTTGCTCCATTTAAATAGAAGACCCTCCTTCTTTCCCTCTTCTGCTTGTGTTTGCAAGATGGAAGAGCTTGGAAGAATATGTTCTTATAATTCTCACAGGCTTTAATTGGAGATGGTCAGTTGGTTAGTCAGTCAAAATTCATTGCAATTTGCAATTGCATTTACAATTACAGGTAGTCCTCGACTTACGACCGCAATTGAGCCCAAAATTTATGTTGCTAAACGAGACATTTGTTAAGTGAGTTGTGCCTCATCTCACAACCTTTCTTGCCACAGTTGTTAAGTGACTCACTGTAATTGTTAAGTTAGTAACCTGGTTGTTAAGTGGATCTGGCTTCCCCATTGACTTTGTTTGTCAGAAGGCTGCAAAAGGGATCACAAAACTCACAACACCACAACCATCATAAATATGACTCTGTTGCCAGGTGTCTGAATTTTGATCACGTGACCCTGGGGTTTTTGCAATAGCTGTAAGTGTGAAAAATGGTCATAAGTCATTTCAGTGCTGGTGTAACTTCGATTGGTCACTAAGTTAATTGATGTAAGTTGAGGACTACCTGTAACATATAGGAAGGAGAAAAACACCTTTTCCTTAATTCCTTGGGGGTGGATTGTTCCTGTTGACCAGATGTTTTATTTTGTCTTTATTTTGTATATAGCTGATGTAGTAGTTCAGTGTTTCTCAACCGTGGCCACTTTTAAGACCTGTGGACTTAAGAGAATGGCTGGCTGGGGAATTCTGGGAGCTGAAGTTCACAGGTCTTAAGGTGACCAAGATTTAGAAGCATTGCTGTAGTTCAGGACTGTCAAACTCCTGGCCCGCGGGCCAGATGCATCATGTGCTGGCCACGCCCCCCAAGGAAAAAAGTCCTGTTATGTCACATGACGATGCCGTGACGATGCGAGTTTGACACCCCTGCTGTAGTTGATAGTCAGGATGAGCGCCTCCCTCTCCCATGCACAACACATGTTTCATTTTTTATCGATTTCATTGGATAAATGTATTTTTATTGAAGGTGACTGCTGTGGCTTCATGACCCTTCTTTAAAAGGAAGCAGATTCTGCGAGGATGTTACATCACCATTGCCGGAGGAACCCTGAACTACAGGAAGAGTTGCAGATTCAGGCCGCGGTGGCTGCTGGGGATGTCCATACGGTGCGCAAAATGTTGGAGCAGGGCTACTCTCCCAATGGCCGAGATGCTAATGGCTGGACCTTGCTCCATTTTTCAGCAGCAAGAGGGAAGGAAAGATGCGTTCGTGTCTTTCTTGAACATGGAGGTTAGTTGACCAAACAGTTGCTTGGTTGATGATTAAACATTTCAGACCTTCTCTGTCAATACCTGGGCTTCCTTTTTTAAAAACAGAATTTTCTTTTTTGCTGTTTGCCCAACAACGTGATCTAGATACAATTTAATTTCTACATTTTTAGATCTCTAATAGGGTGTGGAAAGGGAAAAAACAAACAAACCAGCAGACAAGCTATGTGACTTCAGATTCGACCACAAGATGGCACTCGTTTGTTGTGTGTTTTGAGCATTGTACAAAAGAAAAAGTAATTCATTCCATAACATAATTCTGCATGGATTGGTTCTAGCAGATAGATAACATCTTACTCTATATTGCAAACTAAACGTAGATGTTCTGACATATAAAATCATTCTTGGGTGTAGAATACTAACCACCTCTAGCAAAAACACATGAATGCATTTGTAATAGCAGAAGAAAATAAAGGGAAGTTCATGGAATAATTTAGCTTCATAATTCAGTCCTGCTAAATTAATGGCCATATGGAATTGTCACTGTTCTGGCAATAGCATTTAGCTTTAGATTTCTCAATGATTTCCCAATATAGAAATATCTATTTCTCTTTGCTTTAAGTTGTATTTGTTAAAAATGAAAATAAAGTGTTCTGAAGGTATAAGAAATAGAGTTTCTGATCTTTAATAACTGCATCTTTCCCTTAAATTTTATAAATAATCCATTTATAAAATTTATGGATGAAGAGGCAGCTGGTATTATGCAACTGGGGATAAAAAAAGAGATCTGTTTAGTGAAATACAGAATAACAGATTTGGAAGGGACCTTGGAGGTCTTCTAGTCCAGCCCCTGTCCGAGCAAGATACCCAATACAATTCTGGACAAATACTGTGTAATATTTCCACAGAGAATCAGGGCTCTACATGTACAGAAATTGCTTATTGATAAATGCCAGTATTTCACTCGGGTTTTATTAACAGAACTTTGTGCTACACGTATATAAAATTAAATCCTTCTTGATTTATGTGGCAACAATTTTGGCTGATCTTGAAAAGCTAATGTAATTGGACCTGGTTTTTATTTGGAAGGATAACTCTGAGGAATGCTGGTTATAAACACTGTAGATTTAAAAAGAAGGCAGTTGCAAATTATTTCCATGATATAACCAGATAATATATAGTCCATCAATGTCACCTAGACTCAAAAGATCTTTGGGTAGAGTGTAATTTTTAACAATCATTATCAAATGGAATATGACCAGAAGATGGCAGTGTAATATTTCCAAATACATATGAAGCTATCATACAGTATAGTCCTCTATACTATGCTAAGCTGTAGTATAGTATAGTCCTCTCCCAAATTATCCTTTTTCATATCTGATATTTTTTTAGTGAATAGCTGGTTTCTATACCTGTGGAAATGATTTCCGATGCTCTCTGATATCCGTGATATCCTCTGCTTTTTGGTTCAGAATTTGCCACAATAGTACTGTAGAGTTGGCCAAGCTTAACTGATGCATTGTCCCAAATTGAGACGATTCAGGAATATTTGTTACATTTCTTAGCTTTTCAGAATTCTGGTTGCCAGAAAGTCACAAAAGGGGATCATATGACCCCGGGACACTGCAACTGTCGTAAATATGAATCAGTTGTCAAACATCTGAATGTCAATCACGTGACCAGGGGGGATGCTGCAACGGCCGTTTGAAAAATGGTCATAAGTCATTTTTTTCAGTGCCATTGTAACTTTGAATGGTCATTAAGTGAACTGTTGTAGGTTGAGGACTACCTGTACCAAAGAAGCTCGACATTGTCCTGTGTGAACTAAGGATCCATGTGAGGTCTGTCTAGATTAGAATTTGCATAGAATTCATTTTATATGGGATCAAGGACATCTATTGAATCTTTTCATTCACTCTTGTCTCTCATGAAATGAGGTTGCTTCTCTTTTCCCTCTGATTTTTACATAAATTATTTGCATAAAACAATTTCCCCTCACTAAGTGTAATTAGGATAATTTCATTTTCCAGACTCAGTTATCCTTTAGCTCCTTTGAGGATTTCTAAACTGTGGAATCCTTGGAGCTCTCTGAACTTGGTTGTTAATTTGCAATAGCGTGAATATCTCTAGCTCGGGTGTAGGATGAGGGTGAAGGTTTGTTCTCCAAGCTTGTGGGTCAGTTTTCGAACATTTCGTTACCAGGCTAGGTAACATCTTCAGCAGAGTTTAGGGGATGTCAGTATCGGTGTTCTTCTGTTTATAAGGGCTTCAGTTGTGGGTGTGTCAAGTGAGGGTCTTGTGAGGGGCCAAGTGTGAGTCATCAGTGAGAGTCTTGTGATGGGTTTTGTGATAGGGATGTTACATCATGCCAGGATCATTGGGAGGGGGGTTGTGCGTTTGTTTGGTTGTTAGTTTGCAGATGATGTGTTATTACCCAACTAGGTAACTTGTAACATGAGGAGAGCACCAAGGACTCTACAGTTCAACCTGAGCTACATATATTCTCTTCTGTAAATGTCTTTTGGAGATTCTCAGTCATCCAGATCATGGTTGTCCCAATGAGAATCCCAGAGGTGCTTTTTCAAGAGGCAGCTGGACTTTCTGGTTTTTCTTTGAAAACATTTTGCTTCTCATCCAAACGTCTTCAAATAAAAACTAGAAAGCCCAGTTGCCTCTTGAAAAAGCACCTTTGGGATTCTCTTCTGGAGGATTTTTTTTGTTCTTGTCTATAAATTTGGGTAAGAGATTTTCAGGGACCAACCTCACCTAGATCCTACCTGATCAGTCAAGCTTTCCTCTTGGTCTTCTTTTATTCTCTACTCTCTTTGAATTACACTTAAAATAAATAGATTTTAGATTTTACAACTAAGTTATATTAAATTTAACTACAGAGGTTCTTTTTATCTATGAAAAATGCCAAGAAAAGCACTGAAGATACTGACATTCACTGGTGTCACAGGGAGATGTTTAATACAAGTTAAAGCTAGTTTATTTAAACAGAGAAAGCTTTTAAACAATTCACCATTAGCCTGTACAAAAATTGTTAATGCAAGTTATTTTCTTTATCTATAAAATAAGGGTTGTGATTTTAATATTTAATTGTCTTGTCACTATCTGGAAAGCAACTTTAACCACTTGCTGAAATAGATATTTCTAATAAAATGTTCAGTCAAACAGTTTGCTTATTTATGTTTAATTATATCTTGTCTTTCCATCTAAAACAGTATTCATGGTTGAGATTTCTGTAATATTGCATGATTATGTTCATATACTCCCCTTGCCAAGGTTTGTATCACTTTTTATATTCAAATAACATGAGCAGAAGTGGGAAGAATTGAGTGCCAGGCACCATGTAATTTGCCCATGAACAAAAAACAATGTTAGTCATTGCATGTGACAGGATGATATTAGATCTATACATCTGGTAATTTTTAAAATATTTCATGAATCCTGATTTCTGTGGGAGAAAGAATACTTAGCTATTCCTTTTGAAATGTTGACATTTTGCCCTATCCTGCTTCCCCTTCTCAAAATTAGATGTTTACATTCTTGCAAAGCTCAACATTTTGTGAAACGGTAAAGCTAAGGTTATTTTCATTTTATAGAAGACAGATTTTATCGAGATGATCTAAACTAACATATAGCTTACATGCTTTGCAACTGCATAGATGACAGAAGGCTTTCTTTACCTTACACAGTATTAACCCCCTAAAACAAGCTCATCTTGCCAGACCACAATACATCTGCATCTTGAGCCTGCAGATGTTGCTACAGATGCTTTTCTTTAAGACCAAGAAGCATAAGGGAAAACAAAACACGGAACCGAGGATGAAACGTTAGAGCTGAAGGGATTAGGATAGGTAGGTAGAGGGATCTTGAGAAACACCTGGTGGTGGTTGGGTTTGGAGATTTGATTGCAGGTAGTCCACACAACTTCGTTGTTAGTTGCGAAGTTGTGTCCGACCCATCGCAACCCCATGGACAATGTTCCTCCAGGCCTTCCTGTCCTCTACCATCTTCTGGAGTCCATTTAAGCTCACGCCTACTGCTTCAGTGACTCCATCCAGCCACCTCATTCTCTGCCTTCCCCTTCTTCTTCTATTGCCCTCAATCTTTCCCAGCATTAGGCTCTTCTCCAGCGAGTCCTTCCTTCTCATGAGGCAGCCATAGTCTTTGAGTTTCATCTTCAGGATCTGGCCTTCTCAAGAGCAGTCAGGGTTCATCTCCTCTAGGACTGACCAGTTGGATCACCTTGCAGTCCAAGGGATTCGCAGGAGTCTTTTCCTCCAGCACCAGAGTTCAAAGGCACTCAGCCTTTCTTATGGTCCAACTTTCACAGCCGTATGTTGCAACTGGGAGAACCATAGCCTTGACTATATGCACTTTTGTTGGCAGGGTGATGTCTCTGCTTTTGAGTATGCTGTCCAGATTTGCCATAGCTTTCTTCCCCAGGAGCAAGCATCTTTTAATTTCTTGGCTACAGTCCCCACCTGCAGTGATCTTAATTATAAGTGACTTTTTTCAGTGCCATTGTAATTTTGAATTGTCTCCACATCACTTACTACATTTCAGTTAGAGACTGTTCAAAGTTACAACGACACTGAAAAAAGTCGCTTATGACCGTTCTTCAAACTTACAACTGTTGCAGCATCCTCATAGTCACACGATCAAAATTCAGGTGCTTGGTAACTGACTCATATTTATGATGGTTGCAATGCCCCTTTTGTGATCATGTGATCCCCTCTTTTGACCTTTGGACAAGCGAAGCCAATGGGGAAACCGAATTCATTTAACAACTATGTCACTACCTTAACAACTACAGTGATCTATTTAACAGGTGGGACAAGAAAGGTTGTAAAACGGGGCAAAATTCACTTAACAGAAATTTGGGGCTCAATTGTGTTCATCAGGTGAGGACTACCTGTATTGGAGACAATAGGTATAGTAAATATTCAATTCATTTGTCACAAACCAGATCCAAATTTTATTGAATTCTCTTTTGCTTTCAAATTCTTCCCAATAAATGGGTCTTCTGCACTTCCTTTTATATGGAACATTGCATGAAAATATTTTAAATTCAGCCCATAATTCAGATGCATGCCTTGTTTTTGAAATTTTGCATTTTTCAGTATTGAAATGTTAAAGTTTAAAATATTATATGCTTGGTGCCTATAAAGCAACTTCCAATATGCACAATATTGCTTAATCACTGTTAAGTCCCAAAGTTAAGTCACAAACCTTTTTTATCAATTGGAAAGAAGTCTATAAAAAAATAACAATAATGGATGGCAATAATTTTACAAGTCTTTTGTAATACCTAATGAAGAATTGGGGTTTTTGTTAAATAGGTATCATCATCCTCTTTTAATGACCCCATAATCCCTTGCAGGGTGGAGTTTGGGCAACTGAATGGAGCTGAGTGTTTACTGGCCGGATGCCCTTCCTGTCGCCAATGTGGAGTTTTTTTCAGCAGATACATTCTCAGTGTGCCCAGAGAGAGAAATATCTGCCTCTACCTAGGATTGAATTCACAATCCATTTGTGAGATTTCATGTCTGCTGGGAAAGCTGAATTTATAGATTCACCACGTGGGGTGGAAAAAGTTCTATTTTAAATTGCTGTTTTGCGTGCTTTTTACGATAATTAACTTCTTGCACTTTTTAAAAACTTCAGCGGATCCTACAGTGAAAGACCTGATTGGCGGCTTCACTGCTCTACATTATGCAGCTATGCACGGCCGAGCCCGGATTGCACGCCTAATGCTAGAATCAGACTACCGTGTCAATATTATTAACGCGAAGAGCAACGACGGTTGGACTCCCCTGCATGTGGCGGCTCATTATGGAAGAGACTCCTTTGTCCGACTCTTGCTGGAGTTCAAGGCTGAAGTCGATCCCCTGAGCGACAAAGGCACTACGCCACTTCAGCTTGCCATCATCCGCGAACGGTCCAGCTGTGTCAAAATCCTCCTAGATCACAACGCCAACATTGACATTCAAAATGGCTTTCTGTTACGCTACGCCGTGATCAAAAGCAATCACACTTATTGCCGGATGTTCCTTCAGAGAGGAGCAGACACGAACTTGGGGCGCTTAGAAGACGGACAAACACCGTTGCACTTGTCTGCTCTTAGGGATGACGTACTTTGTGCGCAGATGTTGTACAATTATGGCGCGGATACCAACACAAGGAACTATGAAGGACAGACTCCGTTGGCAGTTTCAATAAGTATATCTGGAAGTAGCCGGCCTTGTTTGGATTTCTTACAGGAAGTAACAAGTATGTATAGCGGAAATCTTTTATCAAAATTTGCAGTAGATTGGTAGAGGGGTGGTGGCAGTTTTAAGTAGTCTTCAACTTACAACACAATGGAGGCCAAGATTTCTGTTGCTAAGCGAGACATTTGATGAGTGAGTTTTAATTACAGATGATAATGGTCAACAGTCTGACTAGCAAACCCAACAAAAGGAATCCCCAAAAGTAAAACTTTATTGAATACACCATCTCAGAACTGAAGAAGCAAAACAAGCTCTGGTTTTCCCGCGTGAAAGCTTGCTTAGTTAAACAATAGATTCCCTTTCTCCCACTCCTTGGGTAGTTGTTGCAAAACTTCTTTTTGTTATGGAAACAGCCCATTTCTCCATTGAGCACCTTCAGTAGTGACCTTGGCATTTTGCAGGCTTTCATGGTCTATGAACTAAGTCTTTGCATCCCATTTCCTCCCTACCCATTCCACCCCTCTCCGACCCTTTTCATTGGCAAATTGAAAAGCAATAGAAGCAAGAAGGCAATAAAGCCATTCAATCTTGATAATAATACAATGAGCCAGCAATCAGACAAGCGAATTTCCCTTAATGTTTAAAATAATCCTGTTTTCAATCCCTCTTTGGGTTCCCCTCTTAACATATACATTAAAAGTATTCCAAACTTATATGAGGAAGCGATAAATAATTATCCATTATTATTGTGCTGCCAATAATAGGTGAAGCGCGGTGGCTCAGTGGTTTAAAGCCTTTATCTTTTGTCAGGTTTCCAGCAGTTACCCCAATTTACCCCATGAGTCTCGAGCCAAACTTCCAAAACTTCAAAAGTATTTATTGGGAGTTAACATGTCCGGCACTGCCTGGGTGTAGCTGACTCTGAGACACATAATTCATTGTCATCTTTGACCCTGGTTTTCCCCCACCCCTGGGTGTATCATAATTTATATTCTCCAATGAGATACATCCATATCCAAGAGTCATCAATCATGTTCTCGTTAGATTTTTGCTTGGCAGAAACTTCAGTCACCTAGTTACTACCCTGTTTCTCCAACAATACGGCCTCCCCCAATAGGAAGTCCCAGCATGTTTTATAGGCATGAAATGAAATTAAGCCCCTCCCCCAAATTAAGGCCTATATTAAAACATGCGAAATGGGGGGAATGGTGGGGGGGCTTGCCATTAGGAAGTACTTTTGTTGCACACCGGGATAGGGTGCTGCCTGCGTTGACCTTGATACGAAGTGCCCCACCAACGCCGAGGTCAACATCCAAGCCGTCGCCGCCCGCCCGAAGATGCAAGGGGGGGAATTAAGTCACCCCCAAAAAGACGGCCTAGCCATTTTTTCGGGGCTCAAAAAAAAATAAGACCCGGCCTTATTATATGAGAAACACGGTATCTCTGAAAAACTATGTATGGAATGCACTTTCAATTTCCAAGCTGCTGCACTGCTGTTTCAAACTCCTTTCCCCCTCCCTTTCTGTTGGCAACTCTAAAATGACCATAGAAATATTTTATGACTTGACATCTTCTGAGAAAGTTTCACCAAATGGACTTTCTTTCCAGCAGGCTCAGACTCCTCTTTATTCATGGTTTCTGTCTTTTAATATTTCGAAATGATTTATCCCATTGGAAGGATAATAAAACGGAACGTAGGAGAAACATTGCAGGGCCAGACCTACCGCAACCAGATATCATACCCTTCCAGTCACCCTGTGGTCGCATACATGGTGCAACGATGCCATCCTTCTGCCTTGCCGAAGAACATGTCAGGCATAAGAAAACCCAGTTTGTCCCATATTTCCAGACTTGGTTGAATATGGCCAAATTAGATTACTTCAGAAAAAAATGTTACAAATAGCTTTTGTTCAATGTTTTGTTCAGTAAGAGAACGTTCTATCCAAATAATCAGTATTCACATGATAATTTAGGTGAATTGATTTCAGAGACAAAAATCTTGCTAGCCCAAATATAAAATCAGGCAAATTGCTTTTGCAGCCCTGGTTTCTCCTGAATAGACTTCATTTCCTCATTTCTTCCCTAACCTTGACTTTTACAATGAATCGCAGTTTGTTGATAAATATAAATAAACCTCCTTGTGTCGTGTAAGAAAGGAACAATGTAGCTCACCTCTTTTATGCACAAAGAAGCCAACTTTTGCTACTTTTTAGTTAGGGTTAACGTATAATTATTCACTCTCTCCCTGTGTTTAGTAGTTTAAAATTATTTTAATCAGCTTCTCATAGAGCTTTTTGCTAAAGTTTTCTGCTGTTAAAAATATAGAAGAATGAAACCATGTGTAAAAAAATTATAATTGTAGAATACCTGGTCAGCACCACATGTACCTAGTTGCTATTAATACTATTAAAGTTCCAAATCATTTTGCATTTTTTTAAATATGAGAAAACAGATTGTCGTATATGCATGCAAGATTGCCCTTGAAAGTGCAACTTTGCTCCAGGGAATGCATGTTTGAATGTAGCATTTGAGCTAAGAAAGGTTTTGGGAAGAAAAGCAGCATGTTTCCATTTGTGCCGATTGAAAGTTCTAGGAATTTTATTCAGCAAATCTGGAAAATGCCAGATTGGAAAGATCTTCTTGTGGTTTATTGAAACCACGCATTCACTTTTAATTTAGAAACTTGAAGCATTTTTCTCCTTTGTTTTCAACTAAGCAATGCATTTTTCTGGCTATATTAGTCTTTGGGATTTGGAAGGAAATAATTTTGGGGCTATATGCAGTATTCTCACACACACACCCCCAAAATATTGCATGTGATTGGTAACACATTTTAGACTGTATACTTTCTGTTCTGTGGCTAAATTTTCTCAAAATCTTTTTTCTGCAGATTTTCTTCCTATTTCTCCAGAATTTACTGGTTTCATATTCAGCACCATTCTGTGTTTTGTATTAGGTTTGGGGGGTTTTTTGTGGGGTTTTTTGCTGCACGTATAAACCTATTTTTGCACATATAAACCTATTTTTAAAAAGTGGTTGATTTCTGGTGTCAAAAATCTACATGTATTCAGATTCCTTAATTTAATGAAATCCGTACTTCTGGATTATAAATTTAACTTTATATTGTTGAATCCAATGGCTGATATTAAGTTGAATATTATGAATATAGCCAATGTGAGATGTGAATCTGTACTCATGCAAGAAGATTTAATTTCGCTCCTCTTTTCCTCCATCTTCTGATGTATATGCCCTAACTTTGCTATTCCATCTTCTGAAGTAGATATGAAAGTCATGGAAGATATATTTAGAGCAGGAAAATCAATTTCATTGGTGGGTGCATTCTGCATATAAAATAATATCTTAAAACATACTACAATTAACAGAATAATAGAGTTGGAAGGGACCTTGGAGGTCTTCTAGTCCAACCCACTGCTCAAGCAGGACATCTACAGGGCCTATACCAAGGGTGTCCAACCTTGGCAACTTTAAGACTTGTGGACTTCAACTCCCA